GCAGTTTTTTATATGCACAAATCCTTTTCATAAAAAAATAAAATGAAAAAAAAATCTCCATAGACACGCATGCCAGACTAGGGTTAATATATCTTCCGTTTCAAAATAGACACCCCCACCTTACCCTGACTTGACATCTATGAAAGTAACTCTATACTGATACTTATTATTAACACCCAACACACGCCTACCCAATGTAAACAATTCGCCCTAGCTGTTACCATGGAAATTTTGATTTCAATTATTAAAACACGTAAATTTCAGAAATACGTTATTCAAAAAAAGATTTCGCTTGAAGATGGAACAGAGCTTACTTTAACTCAATTTTATTTCATATAATAATAGTTTTCGGCTCTTGTTTTGAAACATGAGACCTCTTATGTCGCGAGTTGGAATCATATTTTTAAATAAATATATATATATATATATATATATATATATATATATATATATATATATATATATATATGGTGCGATGGATAAATTGTCGTCGAAATTCTGCAAAAATGAAAATAATACTGATAGCTCATTTTAACATATATATTTGCCAAAATTACACAAAAGCATCTTTAAATACCATAGTGTAGATTTATTCAATAGAATCGACATTGGCTTCAATTATGGCTTCAAGATGACTTCTGAACTCTTCTGGGTGGTCTCCTTGTTTAAGTTGGTGAATGCTGCCATGATCCTTTCCTTCAGTCCATCTTTGGTGTGACAAAGAGTTTTGTTGGTCTCTCGCTCGACAGTGCGCCACACGTAATAATGAAGGGGGTTACAGTCTGTGGAGTTAGGTGGCCAGATGTCAGGAGTGATGTGGTTGCAGAAATTGTCTGAAAGCCATGAGTGGGTTTTCCTACTTGCGCGGCATGGTGCAGAGCCCTGTTGCCAGACATAGGGTTCACCATTAGCCAGTTTCTTGACCCAGGGCAGTACTACTCAAGCCACTGATTCTGAGGTCCTGTGGGAAGATGAATGAAGGCATAACATTGCATTTACTAGTGATCACCCCAAACAGCTTCGTAATCACCATTAGACTCATCCAACTTTTTTCCGAATCCTCAGCACTGTCCTCAAATTGACACCCAAACACTCTGAAATATTAGTATTAGAGCTTCCGGTGCGAACGCTAAGCAGTACAGCATGCCGTTTCCAAGTTTCTGGAGGAGTGAATGGCTTCATGGCGCTCTTTTCTCACAGACGGAGCCCTGCTGACCTTACTTGTACTGTCGACAAAATAAAAAAAAGCTGCATGCGCGAAATTAAAATAATGGTGACAATTAACCCATCGTACACTGTTCATACTTAGCTATATTTATTTTAACCTAATCCAATCGTTCCTCACGAATTGTGTAATGAAGGTCGTGTCGAATAAACCCGTTTCTCATTCATTCCATATTAATGAAGGTGTCCGCCAGCGCTCTATCCTTGGACGCACGTTGCTTCTGATCTTCATTAATTACCTTATCGATGTCATCAGTTTCAATCTAGTTACTTATGTAGATGACACAATTACTTATATCTGTCTTAGAAGAAAGTCCGAAAGATCCGACCAAGTAAAGCTGTTAACAGCTCGCGAAAAGGACCGTCAATCAACGGTTAACTACATCACGGAATTACTTGTAAATCTGAACACCTCCAAAACAAAACTGCCTTCATTTAATCACCACAGAGAACATTTTCTCTCTATTATCAGCATGGCTGGTGCTAAACTCCAGGAGAACAGCACTATCCCAATGACATGTGGTGGAGCGCATATACTGAATCAAATGCTAGGCCTACTGCTAGGAAAGTTGGCTCACCTGGCCAGAGAATTCGTCCCTGTCAGAATCACACTTGCACATTTACAAATCTACTATTCACCCGTGCATTTAATATTTCTGTCATATCTGGTTTGGTACTCCTACATTATATCTACAAATTGCTGAAACAAATTCAACAAAAGATCTGTTACGTAATCAATCCTGACCTGGCATCTCGACTTCAGTTACTTTCTCTACATGGCTTCTTCTTGTCTACAAATGACAATTGTTCTTCGTGCCTCGACTGCATGAATTTAAGCGCACTACTAGATTGGCAAGTAGGTCTCACCGTTTTACTGTTGAACAAACTAGATGCAACCATCAGTTTTATTCTAAGAGTTTCTTTTCTTGTACTTCTAAGCTTTGGAAATCTTTTCCATTTTCTTGCTTCTCTCTCACCTACAATCTTCAAATATTTAAATGTAACATCAACGACCCTCATCTGTTTTACTAAATCCGGTTCCTTTATTGTTCCTATTCCTCGTTTCTCCTCACTAAAATGTTCCCAATCAATCCTGTATACTACTTGCTTGGGGTGAAATAATTTAAAAAAAATCTATCTATCTATCTATCTATCTATCTATCTATCTATCTATCTATCTATCTATATCCATATCTATATTATATATATATATATATATATATATATATATATATATACGCACACACACACACACACATATATATATCGGAGAAAGGTTCTGTTCACATCTATCTATCTATCTATGTTCATATTGATCTATTTACCTGTCTCTGTTCATATCTATCTATCTATCTATCTATCTATCTATCTATCTATCTATCTATCTATCTATCTATCTCTGTTCATATGGATCAATCTATCTGTCTCTGTCTGATCATATCTATGTATCTACCTATCTCCGCTGTCTATCATATCTTTCTTTCTTTCTTTCTATTTATATATATCTCTCTCTCTCTATATATATATATACATATATCAATCTATCTCACTATGTTCATATCTCTCTCTCTCTGTATATATATATATATATATATATACACATACACATATATATATATCCTTCTCACTCTGTTCACATCTATCTATCTATCTATCTATGTTCATATTGATCTATTTACCTGTCTCTGTTCATATCTATCTATCTATCTATCTATCTATCTATCTATCTATCTATCTATCTATCTCTGTTCATATGGATCAATCTATCTGTCTCTGTCTGATCTATGTATCTACCTATCTATCTCCGCTGTCTATCATATCTTTCTTTCTTTCTTTCTTTCTTTCTTTCTTTCTTTCTTTCTATGCCATCCAGGAAAAAGCTCAGTAAATTTAGTATTGCCATGTCCTCTCTCGGAGTTGATTATTTGTTAGTAGAAATCTTTAAAAAGATTAATGTAATTTCAGAATCAATCCTACATCCGGCATTTCTCATTACATAAGCCCGGATTTCTCGTGATTTTTACTTGATCTTTATCTTTCTTTCGTTTTAATGAGAACGAGATACATCAGTAAGCATCTGTCATGGTGTAGGGACAAAGAGCTGTATGATTTTTTTTCTACCGCTCGTTTTCCCCTTGTCTGAGTCGTCTGAGCTGTGAAAGATTGCCAACGAATGTAATACAGGCAGACAGAGGGAAGCACTCACAAACTTTTCTTTTTTTTATGTGTGTATGACAGGCGCTCAAAATAAAGCGTAATTGAAAGACAAAGGGAGATAGATAGATAGATAGATAGATAGATAGATAGATAGATAGATAGATAGATAGATAGATAGATAGATAATGATCATAGATAGATAGATAGATAGATAGATAGATAGATAGATAGATAGATAATGATCATAGATAGATAGATAGATAGATAGATAGATAGATAGATAGATAGATAGATAATGATCATATGTACATAGATACATAGATATTGATCAGGGGTAGATAATGATCAAAGATAGATAGATAGATAGATAGATAGATAGATAGATAGATAGATAGATAGATAGATAGATACTGATCAAAAAGATATAAATGATGATCAAACAGCTAAATAATGATCAGAGATAGATAGATAGATAGATAGATAGATAGATAGATAGATAGATAGATTGGACGTAAGGAACAAGAGATAGGAAAAGACCATGGCAGTACTTAGTTTTTTTGAAGATAATGATGTAGAAAGGAAAATACACTTCTTCACTGTCTCTGTTTCTCATCTGTGATAACTACAGGGATATCGTTTTGAACCTAAAATAATATTATTATTGGGGTTTATATCACTGAACTCAAAGTACCAAAATTAAGAACATCGCAATAAAGCGCTGTATCTCATCGCTTCAGATGTCTATATGCTTGATTCTGTAAACATTCGGTAAAAGTTTGCTATCTATTTAGAGTCGTACGACTTGATGGAGAACAGCCATAATACAAGATATAAGGTTGGAAACAAAATAAATCAGAGAGAGGTTCCCGGTTAAGACCAGCCAAGCTTTATTGCAAATAAAGTGATTAATCAGCTAGTGAATGTCGCAGTTCCATAACCATAGAGGGATATTAAAAAAAAAAATGTTTAAATAGTAAATCTATATGAACTATAGCAGCGGACGGAAAATAGTGTGGCAAACGACCTTTGTAAAATTAGAAAGAAGAAATGAAATCATTCAAATGTGAGTTTTACTAAAAAAAAAATCAAAAAAAAAATCAGATATCAATGCTTTTTATAAATACAAGTCTTACTGTTTAACCCATATCTGAGGGAGAACACGTCAATTCATACCTTTCCCAAGGGTATTTGCGCGTAAGTGAAAGTAAAGAATTGACTCTCCGATTTAAACTTCCCTACCGCCCCCCAATACCTTTCAAGTCGGCTCTCTGATTTATCTTTCCAAACCGCCCCCCTTACAAAACCCTCAGTTCTTTTTTTTTAATCATTCAACTCATAGCAAGGTAATAAACATACCAAGACGCAACGGATTAGCGGGTGTGAGATAAAGAAAACATTAATGAGATAAAACAATAAAAATACAGGAATTAAAAAGACAGGTGATAAAGATTATTGGTGCATTTAATTTTTTGGAGATAGATGTTGACTTGGAAGCAAGAAGCCAGAGTTCCGTAAACCATTCGGACCAAGGGTATTAGTACATAAATTAAACCTAATTTTTAAAGTTAGATACATTTGTAAATTCATAGTGTTTTCGGGTGAGAATATTTATGCTGCAAAATGACTGAATCGCATTATTTTTATGTATATATATATATATATATATATATATATATATATATATATATATATATATATATATGTATGTGTGTGTGTGTGTCTGTCTGTCTGTCTGTGTGTGTCTGTGTGTGCGCGCCCGCGTGAGTGTATAATCGAATTCTCCCCAAGTAACGCAGTAAAGCCACTAAGACATAAGGGCTTACTTGGTGTGAAGGAATTCGAAAAAAAAAGCGAAACATTATTAAAGAGCGTAAACAATAGAAGAGGGATTAAGAAGACAGTAGCTAACCTTTGACATTGCATTGAAATTTTTGAAGACCAAAGTTGGCTGAAAAGCATGGAACTGGAACAGTGTTCTACAACCAAGAATTGCGATAAAAGAAAGCGTTATCTTAGAACTTACGTTTCCATCTAGCCATTTCAATTGTAAAATGTTAATACCGTGCAGCCAATCTACTGCGTTTAAATGCACAATGTTTTCATGTCAAAGAGAAAAGATGAATACAGTTACAATGAAAATATTAGGGTGGTGCAAAAATAATGACGTAATAATGTCGTTTTTTTGACGTATTTTTTAACGTCAAAAACGACATTCTTACGTCATTATTTTTGCACCAACCTAATATTTATCGTAAAAGAACAGAGAAGTAACGTTACGGCGGAACGAAAGTGACTGAAGCCGAAATACCATCGTGATTCACTGGATACTCCGCAAGGGAATATCTAAATGACTATAATAATAGTAAAAAAAAAAAAAAAAATGCATAACTCAAAGACTGAGAAATAGATAAATAGGAAAACAGTGATATATAAATGTTTTATTTCATTTAGTTTCTAATTGTTTTAAATAGTGTTCCAATAATTTGGACTGATTTTAAATGTGAATTAAGTTTAAGCGTCTAATGTTTTTTTCTTTTTATTTCAGATTTAACAACTTAAGCCTTTGGTAATTTCAACCATGTAAAGATTAACAACCAAATAACGTGTTAAAGTTATAGAAGCCTATAACGAAAATGGACGTTCAAACAGAAATGTTTTTCGCGCAATTCGCGAATTTTTTGGTCAACATAATCGACCAACCTAGAGTGCAATTGGAAACGATGTAATGTTATTGTGGAGAGGTTCAATTCCTGCGCGCGATGACAAATAGAGGTGTCTGGATTTTCGGACACATTCTCATGTGCTGCAGCAATGTTTTCAGCTGAAAGGCGCAAACGAGCACGCAATGGTATTTTCACATCTGCCATCGACCGAATTTGTTTGGATTTACGACCAATTTTTCAAATTGCACTGTTGAAATTTCCAAAGACTTAAGTTGTTAAATCTGAGAGAAAAAGAAAAAAAAATCATTAGACGTTTAAACTTAATTCACATTTAAAATCGGTCCATTGTTATTGGAACACCCTTTATATGCGGAGGAGGTTGTAATGAACTGTTCTCGGTCTAGACGATATACTACTTGTTAACTGAGAACGTATTTATAACCGACCTATACCGTCACGAGAAACCGTAACCCTTCTCTCCGTTAGCTATCATACATAATGACTTCGATTTATCTCACCAATCGAGCATCCCCGACGCTATTCAGCTGCCGTTTATACACCTTGTCTCTCAGCCAACAAAAACAAAAAAAAATGATAAAAATGAAAGAGAAAACGGATGAGAAAATTACAGTAAACGCGACAAAATCAACATATCGAGATTAATGAACAAAGTTTGCTACCAGCAAAACAGACAAGCGGTCATAAATCGAGTCCTTTGTTTCATATTCTTTTCTTTGTTTTCATTGTAGTCTTTGGAGATTCAACCTGATTTCTTTTGTAGAAACAAATGAACGCTATTATTTCTTTGGTAGAGGGAACAATATTATTTCTCTAGAAGCCGACACGAAGTGTTTATTCACAGATTTTGTCAGCAATTCTTTTTGCCTAGCGGTTGTTTCTTGCTTGTGTCTTGTCAGTAAAATTTGCAGCCTTGTCAGAAAGCGAGGTCCTACTAAAATAATTTTCTTTTCCATATTATTTTTTTCTTTGTAATTCGTTTATTTTCCTTTTACTCTTCTGTATTTCTTTTGCAGAAATGGGGCAATTACTCGCAGTATTTAAATTTACAAAACAAACAAGGTCGAGTCGATACAAGCAACTGAATCAGAGACAAGACGATGTTAAAAATGGCGGCGTTCTGAATCTGGCAAGATTAATTATGCAAGTAGAAATTTGTAACGAAGAAATGGGCAACAATTTATGAATGAAAAAATGATCAAAGAAAAGGAAAATAGAAAGCAAAAAAAAAAAGAAAGAAAAATAAACCTAACGAATAAAATTTAACTGATCAAACCTGTTTCATTTTAACATCTCTCACCGAAGTCAGCCTCGTAGATTCCATGGAGGATTATTGGATCCGACCCATTATCATTCACCTATACTGGTTGCCAAACAAGGCTGAATGGCCCAGGTTACCTAAGTATTTAACCTATTTTCGTGCGGGGAAGGGATGGATTCCTACCTTTCCTAAGGTTATTTACCCGATACGGAATATAATAACCTGACTGGCGTTGCTAACTCAGCTCACCAATTTATGTTACCAAGCAGTTAACCACTACACCACCTGCACATCTAACAGAGCCCAACCTAAAGATAAGGATTTTCTGAATTAGAG